GGGGGGGGGGCTGCGTCATAATTGTCTATAGCGCGCTCACGTCGCACAATAAACAACTAATCACCACTCATTACACAATGAGTTATTACTATAAATTCTACTTGGAATTTAATTTTTATTTGAATTTCTACTTCTAATGTATTCTACTAGTAATATCTGTAGCAGATACTTTGCAAAATCTATTTTCTATTTGGCTTAATAATTCTTAGAAATATATTGATTTCATTAAAATTTTTTTATTTTTGTATAAAATACAAAATTAAATATTCTGGTCATAATATATTTAGTTTTATTAATCATTTCAGGTGAATATGAAGTTATATTTGCACCGAAACCAAGTCTTGCAAATGACTTGGTTAAAACATACCTACAGCAGTCCATAGCAACTATCAATTCTGATATATTGAGTCGTCATAGAAATTACATACAAATGGAAAAAGATGCGAATTTTCTATTAGCGTAATATTTTTTAATTAAATTTCTCTTGATATAATCTATTAGAGATGGGCAATATAGAAAAATTCTTGATATTTTTTGTATTATAATGTATTATAGGAGCAGAAATGTTGATACATCAAAATATTGGTTGGATAATTTGTGATATTGCTAATATCGGTATGGATCCGATATTTCTGTTTTTAAGCGATATGTACGCCAATATGTGTATTGATATATGTATCAATGTTCAACGATTTTTTTTGTAAAAATTATGGAAATTGTTTTTGACACTATTTCATCGATCTTTTTGATCTATTTTAAAACTATTTTAATCAGAATTTGAAGAATTCAAAATTTAAATTATGCTATATTATACACGTCTGAACATGTCCTTATTGTGCAACAAATGTTGTCATGTTCAGTGCACACTATGCACAAGACATAGAAATTAATCTAAAATTTAGTACATTCTGATTAATCAACTTTCAATCCAATCGTTATTAAACTAATACATGCTTAACGGATTGATCAAAAATTTGATTTTTCTGTTTAAATGTTAATACATATCAGTATTGAAATACAAAATATCAAGGAAAAATCTAAAAATATTGATATTTTAAATATCTTTGTTGTATCGCCCATTCTTATAATCTATTATTATTAATATTATACATTGTCTAACATTAATTTTTTTTTATTCTTCTTTTAGGCAAGAGAAAGAACATTTAAAAAAAATTAAAGCAGAATTATTTGATAAAAAACAGTCTTTAATAAAATGCGCTTCTTCAGCGCCTGTTACCAAATCTTCAAAACAACGGTTGGCAGATGTTGAAGATACAGAGATTGTATCAAGTTAGAACCATATTATTTTTTTAATTTATTTGTTGAAAATTTTGTACATCTGAAATTGATCGATATAACATGGGTTTTAGTGTGGAAAAATAGTTTAAATGAAAATATACAATATATACGAAAACGAAATATGATGTTACACGATTTGGAAAAATTGTCTGAAAAGACAAGTGGCTTAATATCAAACCTATTGAATAATGTAAAAGCACTCGATAATAAGCAGCTAGAAAAAATTAATTGTTCCCAAATATTGGAACATCTTTTTTCACCTAATGTTCAGGTAAAGCTTAATATTAAATAAATAATTAGAATTTCTCTTTGATCTCCTATATTTTAATTAACTAATAAACCAGGATTTATTTTAAAAATAATACGCGCGCACGCGCATCACACACACACACACACACAC